CTTTGAAGCAAAGCCAACATCCTGTGCCAGAGTTGCAACAGAAAGGTATACTCGCTATCGCTTATGGTTTGCATAGCCTTTACAGTAGTACCTTTGTCACTATGGGCGGGTTTTAGAGCAGCTCCGTGATTCCTATCAGGCTGTGTGAGATGCCTACGTTTGTCTGATCCACTACACGTTGATTTGCCAGTCATTGTATGACGCCGCAGGGACAGATCATACTAGGCGTGCCGTTCCGGAATCGCGCTGCGGGGCGGATAGAGATTGCCTGTCCCCTTTCAGCCTATCGCAGCAGGTACAGGGCCTCGAACGACGACGTTACCAGAGATTCTCCACACATCCACACCCACTTGGCGCGGCCCCTTCGTGCAGGCTTTAACTTGTATCTGATCCGCGCCGGCGATACTCCTCATACGTCTGATGGTGTTGAAAGCTTTTGCGATGTATAAAGATCTTCTCCATTGCTGAAAGCTAGGGTACCAAGCCTCGCCCTTCATGCGCGCACTCCGACCGTTTCACCGCTTCATTGATCCTATCCATTGACTTTGGCATACTGCTGATGATCTCGAGGCAATCTGAACTTTTTCAAGACTCTCTACACCTCCCTAGGTGCCACTGAAAGTTCGAGTCCACCCGAAGTCCCAGCTCCCTCGTCCACGCCTAATACGACCGCCGATTATCCCGCCGCGCCGGCGACCAACCTCGACTAAGAACGAAGCTTCCCAAGATCGTTGGCTATTCAGAGGTTTCATGCACACTTCACCTTACTTTGCTTATCGCTAAGGCGCTCTGTAACCTTACGCCACCCCCTTGTCCACGCCGGACCCGACCGCCGAGTAGCCCACCGCGCCGCCGATCTTACACGATGAGAAACGATACTATCCATAACAAGTCAGATGTCTATACCTGTAGAAATTCCACTCTATCAAGCTGCTTGTCGCCACGATTCAGTGTACACGTCCAGCGAAGCTCTCCTTGTCCGCACCAACTCAGCGCGCTGAGCGTCCTCCTGCGCCGACGACCCTGCCGTACGATACACTATACTATTCATGACAATCAAACATTTCATACCATTCAAACACTATCCGCACCATGGTTGCTGTTGCTATATACCAGTGTATACCTCTAGTCTAGCCCTCCTTGTCCACGCCGGATGAGCCCGCCCGAATAATCTAAGCGCCGACGACCCTATCCAACCGCGAAGCACGCTTTCTACGCCTTCCATAACTTGCGAATATCTGCTTCAACTCGATGGCTTCCACCAGCAATCAGTATACATAACCCAGTTTAGCGCTCCCGGTCCGCGCTGAATCTGCCTGTAGGAGGCACCACCGCCTCGACGACGCTCCCCTATAATGAGAAAAGGCTGGCGAGAGAAGGTTGGTAAATGTCGAGATCCGCACTCTCCAGCTATTACAATCTGAGTTTCAATGCCTTTCCCTAACTATCTGGGCTTACCCGAGTTCTGGCTTCGACCAGTTCGCCCTGGACTCGCCCGCGGAGAACCCTACTCGGCTAACGAATCTGCGCATTAGGAAGATGTAGCATTGATGGTTTCGACTTCGCCAGGATACAATTATCTCCTATACTGCCATCGTGCTGCTAATCATCATCCAAAACCGCGGTTCGCGCCTTCGACCCTTTTGCTCCGGAGCAGCCCGCGGCTCGCCCAGCATCCTGTCGCCCCGATGAGTGATCCTGACGGAAGAGCATACTGTTGAAGATACTAGAGCGTTCTAAGAGCTGCTGGGATCCTCTGCACCACTATATCTGTCGCTCCAGGCCAGCGCTTCTTCGAAAAGGCGGATTCTGGAATCGACCCCTTGCGCAAGTCGGTATCTGCGCCTCTTCATTGGCAAACCCACGGAAGAGGTAGAAAGACATTTGATATGGTGAGGTACTTCTTATCAATACAGGCTACCTCTGCACCACCATACTGGTCGTCAAAAGCGAGCACACCCCCGGCCATCCACCTGGCATCATCGCCTGAGGACGATTCGTCTCCGCACTCTCTGTTTCGGCGCCAACGATGGACACATGACCTTATGGGAAGCTGAAACTAGGTATGAGAGACCTCTGTACCACCTTAATTGTCGCCGATAGCGAACATACCCTCCAATACCTACCCTGATATCAGCGGCCAAGAACGCGCCGGTGGTCAAGATGGACATCCATACAGGTAGAAGATCACAATAGCAATAGAATTCCTTTACACCTCCCTAGATGTTATCCCGAGTCCAAATCCCCTCGAACAATCGAACTCGACTTCGGCAAGTCGTCGATTCCCGGAACTCATTGCAACGGCTGGATGTCTTCACCGTACTCAAACAGGTCACATCAAAAGCAGGTCAAGGTCTCCTCATACGCCTCAGTTCACTCGATTCCTCGTATTCAACTGCCAAAATTCAAGACTACTGCCATTACCTCCACCACCATACCTCCCCCGTATTACCCACCCAAAAGCGCTTCAGTGCCCAGCCCACCCTCCCAACTCCCCTGATATTGTGCTTAGAACTGCTCCTCGAGCTCGAAGTAGGCGAGCACGACAGTCTCGCCCAGCTCGTCCACCCAGACAGCCCAGGCCGGCACTTGGCCCCAGGCCCAACGCTCGTAGTAGTGCTCGGCCTGCAGCAGGTTAGTAAGTGTTACTGTGGATAGTAGAGGTTGAAGGGCTTCAGTGCAGTGAGACTTACGATCCAGAACAAGACAGAGGCACAGGTTGCCGCACAGGTAGACTCGGCGACGCTGCCAAACAGGAGCCAGAGGGCAACGAAGGTGACGAGGAGACGGCGGACGCGCGTCGCGAGCGAGGTTGGTGGCATGTTGTTGTTGTTGATATTGCTTTGGATTGTGTGTTGAGAGCGCTTCGACGCGTAATACACTGTTCGTAGGAGTGATATGTTGTGTGTAGTGTTGCTTCAGACGTGTTATACTGTTGTGATTGGGATGATGATGTATGGTGTTTCGTTTGGCGGTTGACAGGCAACAGTATCAACATAGCAACGGGTCACAGCAGCAGCGAAAAAAGGCAGGCACGGTAATACAGACAGAGACGGGCATGCTTTGAGAGCTATGGAGTAGATGACGCTCGAACAGACATGCAAAACCAAACCAAGCACCACACACTAGCGAAGCTCCTCGCAGCTCTTCGCATCCAAGAGGATCCAACAATCTCGACAACTTCGGCTGAGTCTTTGGTAACGTAAACACCATGTTTGTCGCAGGTGGTCGCTACGTGAACAACAACGTGTCGGTCGAGCTTGCTGGTCTGGGGAGTCGTGGAGGCCATAGCAGCGATATGCCCAGTTGTCCCTGATTATGAAAGCACTAGAAGAACTGTTTTAGCAGAGGAAGATGAAGGAAAGTTTGGTGATCATACCTCCTCACAGCTCTTTGCGTCTAGGAGAATCCACCCTATCTCGATAACTTCGGCGGAATCTTTGGTGACGTAAACACCATGTTCATCGCAGGTGGTCGCTACGTGAATGACGACGTAACGGTCGAGCTTGCTGCTCTCGCCGCCTGCTAAGATGCAGGGCTCCCACCCCATTGGAGTAAGGGTGGGAGATTTTGTATTGTACAACAATCGCAGGGGTGGGCAGGACGCGGGGCCCAACCTGGAAAAAGCCATCAAGTCAGTGCGGGTTGGCAATGCTAGGAGACGAGGGACACTTACATGTTGAGACACAGGCGAAGAGGTCTGTGATGACTGCTCAGGAGCAACGTCCTCATCCTCTTCGTACGTGTTTGAAAACCTCGGCTGGTGGTGGAGTTGTTGTTGACTGTGTGTGCTATACGTAGCGAAGGAGTGTCGGCGACCGAGGTTGTCTTGCGAAAGCACCGTTGGCAACGTCGCCCACGGGCGGGGAGACGCGGTCAGCCGAAGCCTATTCAGAAGTCAGTCAGTCGTCTCGTCAGGAAGGTGCGGCCTCGTCCCTGAAGGAATGGGAAACGTACCGACCCATCTCGACCCACCCGCAGGGCACCGGTTGTTTGACCCTAAGGTCTTGTATTGTACAACAATCGCACTGAGAGAAAGAGGTGCGTGAGTGTGGAAGAGGTGTGCAAGAAAGGGAGGGTGGTGAGCGGAGGGTGAGAGGAGTACTTATGGTCGAGGGAAGGCGCACGGTCCCACACCAGCTCGGTGGCGCGCTAGCAGGTCAGGTGTTCGCCAAGGTGAAGTGATAGGGGCGCCTGAGCGGGGAGGCAGGAGCTGGGTATATCGAAGTTTGCGTGCCTTGGTCATGCAGTCCGATATCGGCGCTTGACGTATCGTGTTCGCACTGTTGCAGTCATAGCAAGTCTGCTGAAGGTGCAGGAGCGCCTAGGGAGTCAGATCACCTCGGAGTCATCGTAGAATGTTTGAGACACGAGGACGAGGTTGGGAGGTTCGCGGAGGCAGGTGCATTTGTATGAGTCCTAGGATGCTCAGCGTGACGTCGTGAACCTCCATATGGCGTGTGGCGATCGAGACCTCGGTGCGAGCATTGCTGCATGACTTCCGCTCCTGCTTTGCACGGATTGTAAGGTAGGTCATTCTCATCGTTGTCTTAAGCTTTCCGTTCTCTAGTCTCGCAATCCAGTCTCTGTATGAGGGTGCAGACCGTCAGAAGTCGAATGCCCTGTGACCACACCTCAAGTGGGTTTATAAGTCTTTTCGTAGTCCTGTCGATCTTTTTTGTTAGAATACTACATCTGTTACTGTGTTGATTCGGTCAAGCCTCTTTCGTCTACTCTCCGTCCCATATCAAGTACGCCTTTCCAAGAACACATTTCCCATTCTATAACTCACCTGCCATTCCCCGTAGCCAATTCTCGGGTCTCTTCATATGTCATAATCCTGAATTGAGAGTGAGACACCTCACCCTCGCCACCCGCTCAAACATTGCGGCCCGTATTCAAGAAAACACACCCTTTCCATCTGCATTTCCTTCGCTTTCCGCTTCAAGCGTTGTACGTTATATATCTCTTAAGCGGGTTCCTTTGTATATTCAATACCAGGTGTCTTGGTCTAGTGGTATGACGCCATGAAACACTTCGGTGGTTTGTGGAGACGTCGGTTCGATACCGATAGACATCTCTTTGTATTGTACAACAATCGTTCCTCGAGGCGCAGTTGTTGTACAATACATTTTTTTTCTTGATTTTTCTTGTTTGCTTCAAGAGATGTCAAGGAAAATAGGACAGTCATTGAGTATGACATGCTACATAGATGGCGTTGCTTGAGGAAAGTTTTTTCTTCGTCTTTGATCCTGTTTTTGCGATCTTTTTGCGCGAGAAAACGACAAAGGTGAGGGAATAGGATGAATAACGCGCAATGTGAAAGAATTTTCCAATTGAGCAAACACGGTGTCGGTCTTGGAACGCAAAGAAACAAAGAACACACTGTAGAGGAAGCTTCACCTACAATTCAACAAACCTAGATTGGGGGGACAGATGCTGTAGGATCACCCTGTAGGAGCGCTTCGTCTACCAAACACAACCTAGGTGGGACCTCGTTCGAATGATTACTGCGCTTCAAGCCTCGTGATACGCATATTATGCATCCGTCCTGTAGCACACATGTAAACTTGGCTTTGACGATATCTCCTTATGCTCATCGAAAGCTACCATACTAGACCTTCCTCTCCGGCTCTAGCTCGGGGATGATCTACGCGAAGATCGCCACGACACAGAAGATTCGCCGCCGTCGACCGAATACCTTGCTTCCTCCTATCCAATGTCCCTTGCGTATGTGTATCATGTTGATGCGGCTCGCTAGCCCCTGTTCGTCCCTTGTCGATCATCCGTCTCGGTTCACGATGTCCGGATCTCAAAAAGGAGCGAAGAGACGAACCCCGTTGGAGACGAGCACCGACACCATCGTGTTTGAAGATTCAAGACGTGTGCGGCTGGAATATATAGTAGGATGTTTGGGGTATTGTGTCATTGTACGACCGGAGAAGAGAGGATACGAGGAGCAATGCATAGCGAGAGGAAGAAGTGTTCGGAAAACGACAAGAAAGTGGCGCGGAACGAACCAAGATACCTTCCGGATACGGCTTCGATGGACAAGTGTGCGAGAGAAATAGATTGAGGCACCAAGGTCTGCAAAAAGCGATTATGAGAGCCGTCATGAGAAGTGTAGTCCGGAACTGAGTATAAGAAGGTGGAGAGGGAAAGATCGCTCTACCACAAAGCAGTCAGCACAGCATTATTGCACGCCTCCTCGCCTGTCCTTCATCATGTATACCAGAACAACCGTCGCTCTCATTCTCTCCGCCTGCTTACCAGCGTTCGCTTCTCCCGTCGAATCCAGAGCTTGTACTGGGCCGAATGTGAACGCTGCGACCATCTCCTTGATCAAGGAGTTCGAAGGCTTCGTTGCCAGCCCCGAGCCGGACCCAATTGGCCTCCCCACCGTAGGCTACGGCCATCTATGCCAGACAAGCGGGTGCTCAGAAGTCCCATACGCATTTCCCCTAACTACGACGACGGCCTCGCAGCTTCTTGCCAGTGATCTGAAGGTATCTCCTCCCTGCCCAGGTCTGATGCTCTTCAATGGTATACACGGAGCTTACACAATGTAGTCCCCTCAGCAAGCCATCACTCTCGACACGGCCTCCTCAGTTGTTCTCAACGCTAATCAATATGGTGCCCTCGTGTCATGGGCCTTCAACGTCGGCAACGGGAATGTAGCGAGTTCAACGTTGATCAAGCGACTTAACGCGGGTGAGGACGAAGGCACCGTCATCGCTGAGGAATTACCGAAATGGAACCAGGGGGGAGGACAGACATTGCCGGGACTGGTAAGACGGAGGGCGGCAGAGGTACAGCTGGCGCAAACAGCCACGAGCGTTGGTGCGCTGCCAGCTTGCTAGACAGGATGGACGGAATGATTCGAGGAGTTGGAGGAGGGTTGTCCGCTCGATTGGGGCAGTACGAGTCTGGAATTGTCTACATTCGTCAATGGCAGATCGCAAACTCAGTATCTGCTACTCTCTGAACTGTTATTCAACTCCTCTTGTTCGGAGTATTGTGCCAAATGATCGCGATCGCACTCGTAATTGCCGTTGTTCATTATCGCCAAGGCGGATGCGTGCGCTGAGAGGATGGGACCGAACGAGACCGAGTGTTACCGACGTGAAGATGCATGAAGATCGTTGTACCGAGAATTGCAGAGAGTCATAGAGACGGTCAAGTGTTCTGGGGAGGGCGAAGACGTGTCAGGGCGAACCTGCGGCGTATCAGACGGAACGTGGCCCCCGAAAGAAGCCGGAAAGCGCCACATCGAGCGGGCCTGTCGCTGCCCCTCAACACGAGCGCACGTGCATCGTTCCGAGTCCTCTTGCCCTGACTGACCACCCTCCCACGAAACAGCGTTCGTACAGCTGCTCTGCTCAAATGTCACATCCACAGTTTCTCTAACACAAAGTGTTCTCGTCTTTGACCTCCACACTTACTCTCGTGCCGAGCTTCCTCCACAATGACGCCGAGGCTTTTCAGTATCACGGTGCATGCAACCGCATCCCGAAAATTTCCAGAGCTGCGTTGAAGCATGAGCGTTGAAGCATAAGATTCCGGAAGATATGCGCGATTCGTCCGCTGGACCCCTTACAAATACCTCGCCCACCTGCGAGATCTTTGCAATTGCCGTTCGAGTCAGTCGGCGCAACTCGGTATTAAGGCGTCCTCACTCGTCCATCTCCTCGAAACATCTTCACCATTACAAGATGGCGCTATTTCCCCGCATTGGCATGCTATCCACGGGCCTTGGCTTCTCCCGCCGTTCGTATACAGAGTCTTGGGACGATGCTAAACCGGAGCAAGCTCCACTCTGCATCGTCTAAGACGATCGTCAATGTCCCTTATACGGGCCCTGTACGCAATCCTCATGCCGCCATCCTGCTCGACCGGCACCTCCAATCGTAAGAGGGCCTAAACATCGATATCAGTAAACGCTTCTAAGCACGAGCTATTCAATCACACCCTGTCACTTCAGCATGGCAGATCACGAGAAGCAGGTCATCGAACAAGCAGATGTGTCGCCCCAAACATTGGAGGAGCTGAAGCACACTAGGACGATCGATACCGTGCATCAAGATGAGGCTGTCAAGGTGCTGGCACAGTATGCAGGTGACGAGACCTGGACGCCAGAGGAAGAGAAGAAGCTCGTGAGGAAGATTGACAGACGGCTGGTGTCGATCCTGTGTGTAACATATGGGCTCCAGTACTACGACAAAGCAATGTTGTCACAAGCTGTAAGTTGTTTTCCCTCCTGACTCATGTTCTACGTCTACCACTGAAATAACACTCTGTTTTCCAGGCTATCTTCGGACTGCGCGCAGATCTAGAGCTTAGCGTCGGCAACCGGTACTCCTTCTCGGCCTCAATATTCTATCTCGGTTTCATCGTCGGTTCATATCCAGCAATTCTTATGGCGCAGCGCTGGCCTATTGAACGAGTAGCCAGCGCCATCGTGGCTGTCTGGGGTGCCTGTCTCATGTGCTCAGCAGCATGTCACAATTACCAGTCTTTCTATGCCCAGCGCTTCTTCCTCGGCTTCCTAGAATCTGGAATCTCGCCTATGTTCATGCTCGTCGTTGGGGGCTGGTATCGCAAGCCTGAGCAGGCTCTGAGAATGGGGGCCTGGTATTGCTGTACGGGATATGTCTCTGCCGTCTCGCCTCTCATCAACTATGGTCTCGGTCACATCAAAGGCGGGTCCCTTAACAGCTGGCAGTACATGTACCTTGTTGCCGGTGCCATCACAATTCTTTGGGCCATTGTGATCTACTTCCTCATGCCACCGGATCCCATCCGGGCCAAACGCTTCACCGAACGCGAACGCTACATCGCCGTTGCTCGTATGCGCGAAAACAACTCTGGGGTCAGGAACACACACTTCAAGGTCGAGCAGCTCTGGGAGAGTCTTCTCGACATTAAGTTCTGGCTCATCTTCGCCATCGCTTTCCTTATGATGATTGCCAACGGACCAGTTTCGTCCTTCATTCCAATCATCATATCAGGCTTTGGTTTCAATAGTTTGAACTCGCTCCTCCTTACTCTTCCGGCGGGTGTGGTCATTGGAACCATCGAACTGGTGGCTCCATACCTCGCATACCGCATTCCAAGGATACGGACATGGGTCATTGCGATATGCCAAATTGGCACGATTCTGGCTTCAATTCTTCTATGGCAGCTCCCACGGAGCTCCAAGGGAGGACTGCTGTTTGCTTGCTATATCCTTGCGAGTTTCGGAGGAGGCTATGCTGTTACTATGGGATTGCAGATTGCGAATACGGCTGGGTACACGAAGCGCTCTGTGACGAGCTCTGGCATCTTTGTGGGATACTGCCTTGGTAAGTCATCTACGTCGGCGTGCTGTCGATCTTGAAAGCACGTCTAACAGTTGGGTAGGCAACTTTGTTGGTCCTCTTCTTTTCAAGCCCAAGGACGCTCCCGTCTATGCCCCAGGCTTCATCGCCGTCCTAATTACAAGCATCATCTCCGGTCTGCTAGCCATCGTATATCGATATGTTTGCCTCTGGGATAACAAGAAGAGAGACGATTCTGGCGTCATGGAAAACTTCGAGCACGCGTACGAAGACGACTTGACGGACAAGAAGAACCCTCAGTTCAGATTTACAGTATAGCTGGAAGCAAAAAAGGCTGAGCCGCCCAAAGTCGGCAATAAGGGATGTCGGGGATGCGTCTCCTACGGTACACTGTCGACTCGCTGTTAAGCTATCTTGTGTCAGTTCGAGAACCGCAGGAGCTGGTGCCAGTGTCGAGTTGGACAGCCTACCACGACCGCAACCATCAGCATCATGAGTACAGTACAAAAGCATACGCTTCACTCGATATTTTTCGCTTCCCATGTGCTTGCTGACTTCCACATGTCCCCAAAGGACCAGATCAGAAGCCGTATCTGGCTTTTGCATGACGTGTAAGACTCGCACCAGCTTTGAGATATGGTTTCAATTTCAAGATCGCACGCATTCTAGCCATTTGTCGTACCCCATGCACCCATTCAATCTGGAAGGTCCTCATATCGCTCATCGCATATTGGCACGCACTTGGGCTGGTTTGGGGAAGTGA